GGTCTCTCTCAAAAGCGATGAAGCCGCGCGAGGAGGGCCCTGTTTTCGGCGCTAAGTCGAACGACGGGGTGGAGGTAGACTGACGCCAAAATCAGAGGTGCGAAACCTGGTAAATCAAGTTTGACCGCCACCCGCCTCGACGGCTCCGGGGCGGGGGGGGTGCGCCAGTTTGGGGAGAGGCGCTGGCATCTTTTGTCGGCCTGGCCAGAACGGCAACCCGTCCAACTAGGCGGTTGCTGTCCGGCCTGATTGCCCGATTAAAAATCGGGTACCATCCGAGGCGGATGCGCGCCTCCGAGGCTAGCTTGATTTCGTGCGGGTCGTCCAGGAGGGTCTCCCGCAACGAAAATTACCCGCGCGTCTTGAAACCTTCCCTTCTCTCAAACAGGGGCCGGACGGTTGTCAGGGCATCGGGCGCTCCCGTTGAAGGTGCAGAAGGGCATCGCCGCAGAACTCTGCGGCAATGCAAGGGCAGGCAAAACTGTGGCCGGGGCCAAAAAGGGGATGTTACCCCGACTGCGGAAGGCCCCCTGCCGCCGCGGCCGCGGCCGGCCTCGCGCCCTGGTCCGGAGGGGCCGCCTCCTCGGGCGCGGCGGCGCCGATCTGCGGGACGGGGGATTCTCCCGCATCCTCGCCCGCCGGGGCTGGGGCTCCCAAGGCCGCCTCGGCCGCGCCTCCTGCCGCTCCCTCGCTCGTCTCTCCGGCGAGCTTCCCGGCGCCCCGCTCGACATCCTCTTAAGACTTGACAGCCTGTGTGATTCTTTGGGCAAATTCTGCCTCTGGGCCACTGCCTGGAACGGCGGCTAGCGGGTCTTCCAGCTCTGGAGGCTCGCTGGTGCTCTTGTTGATGTAGGCCTTGATTTGACCCTGAAATTCATCTAGGTCTTCCGAGTGGATGTTGATGTCTGGGTGCTTGCGGAGGCGTTCCGCGATCTCCGCAACTGAAAGATCTTTGTCGCCCGCGGGGGTCGGCGGGTGCAATTGTAACTTGAAGGCCTTCTGTTGCTCCCGGGCGGCGCGAACCTCCAGGGTGCGAGACTGCATTTGGGCAGCGATGGCGAAAAGCTTGCCGCGCAGGCTGTCGACCTGAGCGCCGATGGATCTCTTGTGCGAGCGCCTCCTCTGCTTTGGAACGCCGGGCACTAACGGCCCAGCACTTCTCCGCTGAGGATGAGGCGAGGAAAGCCTCCTCCACAGAGCGCATCAGGTTATCTACTGCTGCCAAGTGTCCTTGATTGGCCCCTGCCGAGCCTAGCGTCGAGTGCTGCTCCCAGAAGGTGACCTCCTCCTTGGCCATTGCGATCATGGACATCGGTCGATTTGGGGCCCTGGCCTCCTTCCACGGGGGGCCCTGCGAACGGTCCCCGTTTGCAGCCCTCTTTGTGGTTGCCCTGGCTTTCGCGGGAAGCTCAGAAAACTGGTCGGGACCTTTATATTTGGGCTGTGACGGTGCAGCCGTGGGGCCCGGAGACTTCCCTTGGGAGCGGAATGGCGAAGGCGTCGTCCCGGCGTAGTTGGTTTGTACTTGCCTCGGGGGAAAGCCTGGCCGCCGCGTTCGGGGCGTTTTTGCCCGGCCGTGGGTGGCTGCCCAATGCTCGAAATGGCAGTCGACGCTGTTGGCGCAGACGGTGGCACCGGCGGCTTAGGGCCGTAAGTGCCGCGCTGCTCCCCGCGGGTGCACGTGTCCGAGTTGCTCCCTGAGCCCACAGGCCCTCGCTGGAGAACGCCATCACAGCGCGGGTCTGGGCAGGGGCCAAGCCCCTGGCTGATCGCAAGGCAAGGGGCAGTGCGGATCCAGGGCCTCATGGTGATGAGACGAATTGGAGTAGAGGCGTCGCCGCGACAGTCGAGCCTGAACTGTAGCGGGGCGGTGGCTGGGAAACCCCGCAAGAAATTTCCCTCTGGGATCCCTAGGGGGCCCCAGGCGATCACAAAATGGCCCTCAAGGAAGATTTGCCGCTTTGATCTTCATCTTGGGACCTGCCAGGGTCGCAGGACGGCCCCAGGAGGTTCCCTGGAGGGCTCCTATCCGGCCGGTTGCCACGGCGAGCTTGAGAGGACAGGTTTTCAGGGCATTAGGTCGCATACGATATTGTCCAACTCTGTCCTGCATCGTGTTGCGGACTCGGTGCTGCCCAGGAGGCGGTGGCAACACCACCTCCTGGATCACCTCAGGCATGCAACTTTTGGGACCCAGCTTCAACCCAGAATGGTGACTGCTCGAGGCGGAAGTGGAGGCCACGCCACCCCCGCCTGCGGACACAAACTGTCCGTAACCTTTGGCTCAAGGAAGGCCCTTTCGCACCCGAAGCGACGGAATCGAAGGGAGATTGGGCCTCAGGTCTGGCCGCCGCTGAGGGGGGGGTTGTGCTGCGCGGGGCTGCAGCCACGGCGATGGATGAGCAGGGCAGACCATGCACGATAAACTCGTAGTGTCGCCCCCTACGTCCTTGGGTGATCAATTTCAATTGCACTACGCGCCTGGGGGGTCTTGTCAACTTACCGGGGGTTTGCCAACTCACCAGGGTACTTGTCAACTTACGGGGGGTCTTTGCCAACTTACGTTTCATGGGCCTTGGTACTTGTAATTGATAGTGGGCCGTTACCTTTTGGCTGACTCCTGTGTACTGGCCGGTGGAACCAGCATCCGATTAGTTTCTGCCAGTGCTTAGGATAACATGTCCGCCAGTGCTTAGGAGAGCAATTCCGCCATTGCTTAGGATAACATTGACACAAACAGACAGGAGCGGATCTACGGCTCACGTTGGTTGCCCAAATCATTGCCACCTCCGTTCCCCGTCAATGATCTGGTGGGCGAATGCGGCTGACCAGGAGCCCCCCATGAGGGAGGTCGCGTCATACCGCCACGAGCCCAGCAGGGCATACTGGGTCTGGGAGCCGCCAGGATCAGCCGAGTGGTGAGGGTATTCGATAATTTCACTTTGTGCCGTTCTTCCCGCCGCTCCCGACCCAACGGCACCCGGCACAGCCAGGCAAAGGCTGCGGGTATTGGATGAATGGTTGGCGCGAGCGGGGGGCCAGCCCTCGTGCCCGTCTTGGCTCGTGCGCAACACCTGCGCTCAAGGTCGAGTGGAGCCGGCTCCGCACTGACAAGAATACCTTGGCCCCGTCAGGGCCCGCCTCGCGAGTAGAGGAGAAAGGATTGATCGCCGAGATTTTATTATCTGTAACTTTCGCTTAACAACAAACAATGTCCAAGAGACGCATGCCTGGTGGGTGGGGTAGGTGTGTGGGACCGCCGGCATCTCCGCCGGGCTGTGGTCCAGAGGGCTGAACCTCCGACATGTCGCAAGAAAATGAGACCGCTGGCATTGCCGCCAATCTGATTCCAGGAGGCGCTTGCCTCGTAGGTGGGGTAGATGTGCAGGATCGCCGGCATTGCCGCCGGGCTGTGTCCTGGAGGGCTGACCCTCCGACGTGTCGAGAGTACCAAGGACCGCTGGCATTGCCGCCACGGTGTGTCCAGAAAACTCATGCCGCGTAGGTGGGGTAGGTGTGCCCACCCAGTGATACAGGATGATTGTTAGTATGAGCGCCCCCCCAGGGTCGACCGACCCTGGGGTGGGGGATGGCTGCGCAAGATTGACACTCTAGCTAACAGCTGTAAGCTGTAAGGAAGGGGAGGACGAAAGCAATGTAATGCTTGTGTCCTTAAGACAGGACCTTTGAAATTACCGCCAGTCTGTGACCGTAAGCGCTTGTCTCGTAGGTGGGGTAGGTGTGCAGGACCGCCAGCATTGCCGCCGGGCTATGTCCCCGAGGTTAAAGCCTCCGACGAATCGAATGACACGACAGGCTGTGTCCGAGAAGAGCATGCCTCATGAGTGGGGTAAATGTGCAGGACCGCCGGCGTTGCCACCAGGCCATGTCCCGGAGGTCAGAACCTCCGACAAACCGAATGAAGACAACAGGCTGTGTCCAAAAAACGCATGCCTCGTGATTGCCGCCGGGCTGTGTCCTGGAGGCCAGAACCTCTGACTTGCCGAAAGTGAATGCGAGCACCGCCGCTTCCGCCAGGCTGCGCCCAGAAAACGCTTGCCACGTAGGTGGGGTCGGTGCGCAGGACCGCCGACATTGCCACCAAGCTGTGTCCCCCCAAACCTGGTGCCCCTGATAATGAACCCTTGGTGTTGATAAATTTCCCCCTAAGGAATACGCCGCCCCAGCGACACGCTTGGCACGCCGACCCGGCGACACACATGGCAAAACGCCGCCCCAGCGACACGCTTCAGCTCACACTCAAAGGAAAGGGGGGGGTGCAAACTTTATTATCCGGGGCTTTCGGTTGACA